CACCTTCCTTATGCTGAAAAAATGATATTCTACTATTCGTATCTTTATTAAATGTGTAGACTGTGCCTATAAGCTGTTAGGGCTCTGGCTGATACACACTGGGGTGTACCTTGCATCTGTACTGATACCCTGTTCCCCCTTCCATCTCACCATTACAAGTCAACGTGTGCCAATTTAGACAAGAGATTTCAGTCTTTTTGCATTTTACAGTCTGATACTTACAAGATTTTAATGCCTATACACTCTTAAAATGGTTATTTCAAAACCTCATGTATTTGACACACTCTTGAATGTAGCTACATAGCGCAAATTATTTTGGTCTTTGCTGTGCTGCAGTGTTGAATTGCAAATGTATTTTTATTCCTCCTCCTTCATAGAAAGTATCACAACTGCTCTGCAGTGAGTCACTCATCTGTCAGCTAAGGAGGAACTGAAGGTCTGATGCTGGTATTAAAGGAGAGAGAGTACATCAGTGGTAACAAAGCTCAAGAAAAGGGAAGTAGCAAAAATGAATTTGCTGTCCTTATCTTTTTATTATAAAGACTGAGAAGGAGTTACAGAGAAGGTAGCAAACAAGTAATGAAGCATTTAAAACGTCATATACTCTTGGACATTATTTTGTTCTGATGGTATTGCCTTAGCACAGGGGTTCCCAATATTATGTCTGCTGGGTCCACAAAGGAGTCCTAATGTGGTTCCTATGGGCACTTGAAATGTATTATTCCTGTTCTTCTAATATATGAAAAATGATTGCGTGAAATAAATACAGGTTTCTAGCAATTGTGTTTAGGCTTCAACAACTATTGAAGCCTAAATAAATACCTAAATAAATAATTGAAAAGCACATGGACCTCCATAATATTACAAAATGAATACAAAATTTTTCTGAAAGAAGCAACTACTGGACATTACTGAAACATACATATTAAACAACTATTAGCTGTGTTATATCACCAGCAAGTAACTGAACAATAGCATTCTTTTTCAAAGAGACCTTGCAGTGTCTAACAGAAATCAAGCAAAAGTTTCATTGAATAAGATGTAGCCTAAGATCCATGGACTCAACAGGTAGATGACAAAGCAATAATCTGCTTATTAGGTATTTGTGGTGGTGCCCACAGCAGTTTCTCAAATTCCCATATGTGCCTACAAGTCCAAAAGGTTGGAGACCTCAGCAGGTGGCTGGAACAGCCTCACAGTAACCATATAATTTTCCAGTTGATAGATGAGCAGGGGTGTGAGAGCATGGCTTGGCATTATAACTTTCTTGACTGAGTTTTCCAGGAAGTGTGTGGGGGGGGGGGGGCTGAAAGTGGTCATCACGTCCCCATTTTGTCCTTTGTGATGTTAATTACACAGAGATCATTATGACTAACTTAAAAGTGAGCTTCATGATGTCATGACTTCAAATCCTACCCCAAACTCTAACCGCTAGACAACACTGGGTGTACTGTAGTATAATTCTGTTATGCCACCCATGTATATATGATGCATGTTGTCATTTATTTGTCTACTTGATTTTTATCATGCCCCATTAGCTATAAGGCTCCCTTGGCCTTTGCTACAGACCTATCATAAAGGAATGACAAGTGGCGGCCCACAGAATTCCCAGTCATCCATTGATTCTCATGGTCCTTTGCTTAAGGATGCCCACTTCCCCTGCCATTTTCCACACTTGGATATTTCTACTGTCGTTGCATATGGCTCCTCCTAACAACAGAGCCGATTGCCCTTTACAGCCATTCAGCTAGAATACTAGAAGGTGGGTGTTGGTTCACTGCTACACAGTGCAATTGAATAAAAATTTGCTCTCTGTTTTTAAACAAATATTTCTGCCAGTAAACCATAGACACAAATGGCCTGATTTCAAGAAAGATCTGGCTTAACAATTGCCAGAGAGCCTTGAATGTTTGAGATGCAAAGACCCTTAAAGCCGGAAGAGTTGTTCCTCTTTGGGGTGAGTGTGGCGTTACACAGCTGCCAGTGTTTATGTGGTGTTCCACCACAGAGCGCAACACTTTGGTGGTCTCCACAGGTTTTTCTTTAATGTTTAAATCAATCTTGTGAAGTTGTATGTTAAGTAACTTTGATTTATGAAGTGAAAGGTTGAAATAACAAGTAATACAGGAGCCCCTGAGATTTATGAGAGGCCAGAAAAAAGAATTACTAGGCCAGAAGAATTAGCTAGGCCAGAAAAAAGAATTACTATTAATTAAGAAAAGAAGACATTTAAAGCATAAATAAAAGTATTTGTCTATTAGCATGGAATTTGGCAGAGTTTCTGTGGCATTGACAGGCAGAAGTGCCTTCTGAAGTAGCATATCTGAGTTGCAGTTATGGGTCAGGGGTTTCTTCACAGTTCAGGCTTTGGGAGCAGAGACTGGTTCTTACCTAAATGGACTTAATTCTGAGTCCAGGTGGACCATGTGTTCTGAGATTTTACTGGAGAAGTAAGAAAGCAGTATCACAGCCAATACCGAGATGAGCAACCAGTTCCATTTAATGCGAAGAGTGTGCTTATCGTTGCGGTGGTATATCAGTTTTAAAGTTTATTGATGACTGTCAGTTGTGAATGATGTATGGAGCTTTCAGATTCTGAGGCCATGATACGAGCCATTCTGGAACAGACTGGGAGAAAGCTGGTGCTTTCAGGACTGCTTGTGGGCATCTCAGAGACATCTACATAGATGGTTGTGGTAGATATTGGAGTAGATGGACTGCTTGAATCCAGCAGGGCTCAGAATGTGAACTAATACTAGAACATGATGCCTGTCAGAGAAAAGATCAACTAAGGATAAATCGAATTGTATCATAGCGTATTTTGATGTGGAATCCTCTCTAATATACTTTTCTAAATGGTGAGAATGAGACAGTAGTGGTATTTGCATGACTCAACAATCCATTGGGCATTACTTAACCCAAGGTGAGACTGAGCCATATGCTGCCACTATTTGAATATGCAACCTCCACTTATGCAAAACAAGCAAGTGCCATGGTGAAACAATTCTCACTTTAGTCATGAACTGCTTAAGGATTATGCCAGGGTTGTTTAACCTGCATGTAATCCACTGTCTCCGGGTTTTCATGACACTTGGTGGTCGCATAGTCAGATTGGTGCCTGGGCTCACACAACATGACAACTGACACTTGAGGGTAAGTATGGATTTAGTGTGGGTTCTTCTTGAAATGTAGGTTGTTGTGTTGTGATACACTAACCTACCGTGATTTTTTAACCATGAACAACTCAAGGAAAGAACCCTTGGGTTTGTGGTTGGGTTAACTGTGGGTCATTTTTGGTTAACAAACCATGGTTTGTTAATGCATCTGCATTCACACAGCACAACAACAACCCCAACTCAACCTATACTCAACCTTGAGTGTGGGTTATCATGCTATGTGAATCCAATCACAATCCTTTTTTTTGTCAGGGGTTTGCTTACTTTCCTTGTTCTTAAGTGCATTACTGGTGTTGCTTACCACAGCTTTCTGTTTCCTGTATGTTTTGGTATATAAAACAGTGGGTCCATTTAGGAGGGAATAGTACAATATATCAGGAAGCGTTACTACAGGAGATTCATCAAGCAGGAGGTGGGATGCAAATACTTCTGACTGGGGAATAATTGGATTTAGAACAGTTGGGAGAAAACATTTTCATAAGAGAATGAGTTAACCAGCACTTCTGTTCTCTCCATTTAGTGTGGTGAAGCAAACATGCTGCCCAGCATTTGTCTCACAGTGTGTATTTCTAGCATTAAAATCAGATTCTGCCTGACTTAGGGACCTCATGTATACCATATCAAAGGAAAGTGCAGCATATCTCACCAGAAAAGAGCTGGGTTTAGGACCTTAGCAAGCTGCCTTGGAAGAGGCCTGCCAGTGTTCAGGGCTTGGGCACCAGGATCCAGGCAACTATGCCGAAGGCCAATCCCAACAAATCCAAGTCTTTATTCAGCAATCCAAGGTCAGTGGCAGGAATAGAAGAGCAAAATAGTCCAGTCCAAGAGGCAAAAGCATGGTCAAGCAAGCCAGGGGTCAAGAAACCGAAGAAGCAATGAAAACAGGATAAGGTATCTGAGGGCTGGAGCAGAAGCAAAGCAAGGGCCAGGAAACCAGGTGTGGTCCAGGAACAGAAGATCAGGGCAGGTCCAAGAAATCAGGTCATGACAAGCAAGGAACATTGCAGTAAGTCTGGAAACCTTTATTGCTGAGGCAGCTTCTGGAGAGAAGAGCTAGTTCTTCTATGGCTTCTGGAAAGAAGAGCTAGTTCTTCTATGGCTCTTTCTTCAGGACTCCCAGGTAGGGCTCATGAGGGCCCTGGCAGCTGGAGTAGATTGATGGCATAATCCTACAACTACCAAGGCTGCTATTCTGGTGCTCAGCCAGCAGATAGAGCCCTTAAGCTGCTTCAAATCCTGACAAGATGCGATCCTACCATTGGTCCCCCTAGCTCAGTATTGTCTAATCTGATTGGCAGTGACTCTCCAAGGTCTCGGGCATGGGTCACTGTCATCACCTGTTAGGGGACGCATTCCAGCTGTTATGAAACTGGGGCTTCCTTCATGCAAATTAGGTGAGCTAGTGAATAAAGATGGAGGAGAGTGACATGGATGCTACTTTCAAATCCATCCTTCATTTTTCTGTGTTGTATGGCTGACCCTTTAGCCCCCATGGAGATCCTGCTTGAGCTTGCTCCTAAGTATGTACTTCCCTCTTGTTCTACTTGCTTGCCTTCCTCCTTCCCACCCCTTTGTGTCTCTGCCACAGAAACATGAGCTGTGTTGGTGACTTGCCTTTTTTGCTCATTTTTCTCCGTAAAACATTATGTACACTGATTTTGCTGAATGCATGAATCACTATCTTATAGCCACACCAAATGCTTCTACCTCTGTAAACATCCTGTAATGAGAGAAAGGGACATTTCTATCAAGCGGAGTCAAAACAGCTTTTTACCTGCTATTTTATTTTCAACTTGGCATGTTTTGTTTTTTTTAAACCTCCAGAGGAGAATGATCAAGGACAGCCCCAGAGAAAACGCATTCGAAGGAAGAAACGAAAGAGTGTTTTGCAAACCTCTGATCATTTACATGAAGGCCAAGCAGAATGTGGAAAGCATGAAAATCTGATTGAAGATAACTTACAGCTGTGGCACACAGACAGCCCAAACCTAAGTCGAAACAAAAAGAGGAAACTGAAAAAGAAGCGACACAAAGAAAAGATGAGAGCAGCTGGCTTGCTGACAAAACCAACTGCTATAGATTTTACATATAACCCTGAGAAGGAGGGAGGAACAGACTTTGAAGATGCAGATAAAAAAGTAGACGATATTCTGGACTTTTTGCAAGCCACACAAGAAATCTATTTCTCTGACAGTAGGTGCATTTTCTCGTTTCATTAGTACCTTGTAGCAGAGGAAAGAAGGATGGATGGATGGATGGATGGAAGGAAGGAAATTAAAAGATACTTCTCTTTTTTTTAGCCTGAATTTAAGGAAGAATAGCATTTTTGACCCAAGGATGAAAATGCTGCTCCACTGTTTCTTAGTAACAAGGTCTTTGTAGCAGCAAATGGAAACAATCTATCTGTATGGTGGCCTGCTCTTGAAACAAACACATGTTTCAATAGACAGATGGATTCTGCACATAACTATTTTCAGAGTAGTTTCTTGACAAAACCCTGCGCATATTTATGTGGAAGTAAGTCCCCACTACGTTCAGTGGTGCACACAGATAGAAATAGAATTGCATCCCGAGTGGATCATGCTACCAGTATAGAACTTCATTGATTTTAATGGATTTTTTTTCTGAGTACATGTACCAAAGCTGACTTGCCCTTTTTTTCTTTGCAAACTGGTGTACTTAAGGTAGAAATTTGCTGTTTTTCTTTGTGCCAAGAAAGACTCAAGTGATGACTCAGAACCCCAGAATATGGCTTGATATGATTTCAGACGGATGCTTTTGCACAAATGGCCCAATTGATAGTCACAGTGGTGGCTGTATGACATCCAAACCAGGCTGCTCCACAGGGCAAACTGTTTTTGACTCTTGAGTCAGCAGGGACATCTGAAGACTTTGCTGTACTTCTGAAGCCATCCTGTTTGGTCCTTGCATGCTATGGCAAACTCTCTCCTGATTTTCATTGTGGCCCACTGCACACTCTCAGCCTCCTGTTCATTCGGCCCATGTATTTGGGGTTGAAAGAGATCACTTCAGTAACATTTGTTTGAATTGGTTCTAAGAAGGAGGTGAAAGTATTCTATTTATACACACATTTATAGACATTTGTAGGTGTTAAACTGGCTGTACTGAATACTGACCCTTTATTTTCTCAAACTGAATCTGGGACAGATCCTAAACACCTTATCAGAATATTTTTCTCCTAAAACTTTTTAGCGAAAATGGTTGCTATTTTTAATGAATTAAAAAGTAAGAGTAAACAATACCCGAAAGCAATGAAACAGTGGGCAGGTTTGCAGGGAATGCTACGCCATCCCTTGGCTTGTAGCCAGAAGTAGGGTTGATACAGATTTGCTAGGGGATGTGGCCCCTCTACTTGTTTTGCAAACAAACAATTTCAAAAACAGTTTGCAGGTTTGTCTTTAAAAAGCTTGCCAGCCCAGTGAGCTTTCTCCTTCAGTTTTAGTGCCCCCTTTCAGGCTGTCAGTGGGCTCAGCCACCCTGTGAGTAAGGCACACAGTATGGGTTATTCTGTGAACAACTCACAGTACTCCCACCAGATGATCAGGTTTCACTTCCACTCGCCCCGCAGGCAGCTCAGGCATCTATCCCAAGGGACTTCGCAGCAGAACTCATCTTGTCTCTCTGTTCGCCACCGGTTCCTGCCCCCCTCAGAGTTTCACAAATGCACAAATGGGGGTTGTCTTTCATCGTTGTTTTTGTCAGTCTTTTACAAGTGTCCCAGTATGTTCCTTGGCTGTCAGAGATACGTAGCATTGTATGGTCAATTTCCTCGCACATTTCAGTTGTCAAAGGGAGCACAGAAGTAGAGCAGGCAGATTAGCCTTCCTGATGGTTGTTTTGCATGCAGTTGTGAAGAAGATCCAAGCAAGAAATAATAAAGGAAAGGAAGGCAGGAACCATTAGTGCAAGTCGGAAGCACCAAAAATGGGGTCAGGGAGTCAAAGGGAGGGAAGCACCAAAAATGGAGTCAGGGAGTCAAAGGGAGGGCAGTATCTTCTCCTTGGCAATGTGATCCTTAAGTGTTAAACTGACAATGCTCAGTGTCCTCCACCTTTTCAACCACCTTTCCAGCAATTCCCAAACTCTTCAGCTGCTCCAGAAAGGAGAGGCAGCTCATTTTGAGAGCACTCACTGGTGTGATTCCTTTGGTTCCCTGAAAGCTCTAAAGCAAACCCTTAAAAGGCAGCTTAATGAATGGGGCCACATGGGGAGGAGTAGGTGCTGGAACCCATTTGATTTTCCCATTCTGCCTCCCTATAAGCTTTTTTAAAAATCCTGATGAGACGATTTCAGAACTGACAAGAGCGTTCTCCTTCATGGGGAAAGGGAAGTAAATGGAAGAGAATTGTACACAAATGGAATGACTAGGAAGAAAATGCAAGATAAATGTGTTCAAAGTAACATATAGGAAGTAAATGGAGAAGTCTATGCCACTTTAAAGACTGGGAAGTCAGTGGACTGGAAATTCACACACATGTAATAATTTATTTATTTATTTTTCTATTTATGTCCTGCCTTTTTCCTAGAAAGGGCTCAAGGCAGCTTACATCATTCTCCTCCTCCATCTTCTCCCCACAACAACAACCCTGTGAGGTAGGTTGGGCTGAGAGTCTGTGACAGGCCCAAAGTCACCCAGTTGGCTCCATGGCTGAGTGGGGACTAGACCCCAGATCATCTGAGTCCCAGTCCCAGGCTCTTAACCACCACACCACACTGGCTTTCACCTTACTGGCTGTCATGGTGAAACAGTTAATACAGGTGTGCTAATTTCACCTCCATTTACTTCTCACCTGTTAAATCAGAGTATATTTCCCAGTCCTCCCAAATTGTGCAAATATTCCTGACCCTTTTTTAAGTACTTGGAAATGGTGTAACAGCAAATGGAGCGCCGCCCGCAGTAGTGCTTCCATGCACACACCCTAACGGGCCACCTTTCACTTGGTCCCATGCGACTACCTCCTCGGGGTTTTGCCTTTTGTTTCTTGGTTTGTTTAGAACTGTCAGGAAGCCATAGTAGCTGCAGCTGTAAGTACTTCAGGAAGGAGCTGTGAAGAGATGATCTCTTCCCTTTCTGAACCAACTGCATCATTGGGAAAGTGTTGAATAGATGGAGGGCATTGAGGACTCTCAAATCAAGAGGACTTGATTCGTAAGTGAGAGACATCATACTCACTTCCTTTTATTATTTTCCTCATATTTGGAGCTTTTCTATGGTACAAATGAGTTCTTCCTTCTCTCTTAGTGTTATATTTCTCAGGGACCTAGTCAAGATTAGCCTGTATGAAGCATTGCCTTCTTGTACGTTCCCTAGTCTACTTGGGCAGTCCCTTGACAGCAGAAACAGGCAAGAATACACTTCTCCAACAGCGAAAGCACAACCTCTTATTGAAAGATTGAGCAAAACAATGATTAAAAATGTGAACACATTTGTACAATTTTCAGGGACCAAAAAGGGAAAAAAGTGGCAAAGAAGTACAGTTACTCCAAAGTGTAAGTGTTGGACATAACTGGAAGTGCCCTTTCTGGCCGTGCCATAAGAGAGAGCATTTTCCCCACTCTCACTGAGTGGCTCTGTAGCCAATCCCAGCGAGTCACAGTAAAATTGCTGTGCTGAGTCTGGATGACACAACAACCCCTCATGGGTAGATATCCATGGGAGGTTAGCATGCCATGCAAACCTGATCGATAAATTTAGCAAGGCAATATTACCTTTGCGTATGTGTTTCCTGAGATACTCTCAGAATATAAATCGGAAGATGATAACCAGGTATGGCTAAATTAAGCGCTCTTTCCAGTTGGCTTCTGCTATGTCAACAGGAATACCTAGGGAGCAGCATTACTAGAATTAGCACAACTAGCACCTCAGTGCTCTTACTGACTTTCCTTCCAAATTTCCCACAGATTTCTGACAGGCTCTCTGTCCCTTTTTTGTATCTTTATATCTGTATATGTAAACATTAGTGTTTGCCATCCATATTTTGGGTCTAATGACACAATGTAACACTGTCGCTCTGGGCTCATTCTTGAGCGTTTGTTTACCGCTTAAATGATTGAGGCATCAAGTGCTAAGCTGGCATTTTTCCAAAATTTTTCAGCTTTCAAGTAAATCACGGGGTTGTGCGTGCGTGCATGTGTATGTGTGTAGAAGCCACAGTCATCTACATCTTCCTATTTTGTACTCAGTCCAGGTTTATCCCAAGCAGCCTTCCCTGGCCTTTGGGTATTTTGGACTTCAATTTCCATCAGCCCCAGCAAGTATGGCTGGTGGTCAGCTGTGTTGAGCACTGTAGCTCAAAACAGCTGGAAGGTACCAGGTTGGGGAAGGATGACTTGGAGTGTAAATGCGACCTTGTCGTCTTGATGCAGATTGAGCAGGCCTGCTGTGTCAAACACACTCAAGAAAGCAGCATTTTTCTGTGGCTCTATCCCTTTTCTTACTTCTCAGATACGGTAAATTCAGCATATCATTTATTTTAATTATACCTATCCATGTTTCATGGCATCCGCTTTAAATTTAGAAATCGAAATAAGACACGCATTGAACAGTGATGGTGTATACTTTAAGGAAGAAGAACATTTCTAAATGATCATGCCTTTTTTTCTTTCTTTAGAGAGATCAAAATGTGCAGAGTCAACTGTGAGTTTAGAAAGCATTCATGAGATTCTGCAGAGTCTTGAATCTCACACCATGTCTTCCTCGGATGTCACTCTTCTGCATCAGATGAAAGCCCTTGTTCTTCTGCAGGACATCAAAAGACTAAAAGATGCTATGGAAGAGTTTCATGTGCAGTCCATGATGCCTCCAGGTATGCTTAGTACACATAACCGTGCTGATAATGTTCTGTTTGTGCTACAGGATGAAGATTTTCCCTGTACAGGAAAAGCAAAATTAGTTTCCACATATTTGTTCTGTATATTTTATAGATAAGATTCAATCCAGTAATGCACTTCCATGAGCAGAAGGGCTTTTTATCCGTTAGGGCAGGATCCTTACATGGGCTAAGAGAAGAGAAGTCCAGCAGAGTGTTTCCATTTGTACAATGCATCACACAAGGTTACATGCTGTGTGTCCAGAGGGCATTGCCCTGTCACCTCATGCATTCCACTTGCTCTTGCTTGGGAAGAACACCACCACTGCCACAGTTTGTGTTGCTAGCACAGCTATACTTGATTCACAGCATCATACAGGACCAAAATGCCATCGGGTTAGACCCATGAGAAATGTCAGATCCACAGAATGAGATTCCGCAGTTAACATGCTATGCTTTTGACTTTGTTTCCCCACCACCACCCCCATATAGGAAATCAGTGTGGCCATTCTCTTTCAAAACCTATGCAGAACAGACTTAATGCAGCCTGAGTGAATATTGTGTGGACTAATATGTAATAGCAGGGAAGAGGGTGCTCAAGCAGTGAGAGTCTGAGTTGCAGGGGCACGTGTCCCTCCTGACATGTATGAAATGCTGGATAGTAGAAAAGCCCCTTCCTTTCCAGATGTGTATTTCATGACATTCTCTGCATGGGCAATTCTGTGGTCAGTCCCATGTGCACTGAATTATTTCTCCATTCTGAGCAGAAACTAGATCACTTTTCACAGGAACCAAGAAAACTGCCTTGTGCTTAGTCGAACCGCTGGTGTGCCTAGGTCAGAACTAACCACTGCAGTGGCTCTGCGGGAGTTAGACATCAGCACGACTGGGGCAGTCAGGGCTTGGGCCAGTTCAGGGCATGGACCTAGCTGGTGGTATGATGACATGGAAATAGGCAGCTTTGAAACTTAATTTCGCTCAAAACAATCATTGAAGTGATCGTGCTTATCGGGGAATCTCTTTTACCCAAGGGTCAAATTCAGTTTTTGATGAATCACTCAGCGGGTGCATTCCAGTGGCGAATGGAGCCAGAATTCAAATGCTTCCAGTATGTTGTAGTGTGAAGTTCTTATTGGCAGTACCTTGGTACTCCAAACATTTTAGAATAGGGAAGAATCCTACACAAAAGCTCTAATTGTTGGATGGGGGGAAGGGGCCTGGAGAAGGGCTGTGGGCTGCCAGGAGAACCCAAAGGGCCAGATTTGACTCATGGGCTGGAGGATCCTCACCTCCACTCCAAAGCATGAAAATGCAGGTGAACTTGGATGTGTCTCCTCAGAAAAACAAACTGAAAGTCAAATTTCATTCCGGTGTCTTGTTGGTGAAACCTTGGTGCAACAGTAATAGTCTTCACTGTTGACACGTCCTCTCTACATGTGTATTACCTCAGGTAGTTCTAACTGGCCCCTTATCTGTGTTTTTGAGTAATGGAACTTCAGCCATTGGGTGATGTAGAAATTAAATCAATCAAGTACCTAAATCTGAATTTTAAGATTTCAGATTTTGGGCAGGGTGGATGAGCCAAGGGCCAAATTCGTTTCATGGAAACTCTTGGGATCCACACACAGGTGGTGGGTGGAGTCAGAAGCAAAAATGAGTGGTGTTGAGATAATTAAAAAAAACTGCCCCCACCTCTCAAGTTCTATTTTTACCCATTTCTAGTAGGGAGCATGATGAGTGAATCACTCAGAAGAAAGGGTGAATATCTTACATGCTCACAAGTGAGGAGTGCAAGTCTCTCCATGTCTACTCCGTGGTTCAGTCTGCATGCAGCCACTCTGTATATATAAATAACACCAATTGCAGTACAGGTCTTTCCTGCCCAGTCAAAGCAAGGGCTTTTAGAAGAGCTAATGAGGTGGGAGAGGAATCTTGATCTCATCCACATCCGTGGGCATGCAGCACATAGGCTGCAACCATGTGCAATCTCCAGATACATAGGTGGCTCCCCTGTGGTTCAGGGTGTGCTCATTAGCAACTAGGGTCTTAGTCACAGACAGTTGGGCTTTGGAGTGCAGCTTTAGAGCTTCTCTATCCTCTGTTTCCCTTTGAAGGCCACAATTTTGTCTTTCTGCTGATCTTTAGAAGTGCTGGCCAAACCTGAACGATCAAGAGGGAGCTAATAAAGCTGAAGCCTGCCATACCACACGTTTATTCCGGGAGCAAGTTATTCCGGCAATCATTAGTGTGGGATCTGTTACAATGTATCTTCTACAATAACCCTAATAATGTGGCATGGAGGTAGTTCCAAATATGCTATTTGTGGTTTTCTTGGCTTTGTTTTCTTGTTTCGTGCAACCTGTTTCCTTGGAAAGAAAAGTCATTTATTTCTCTTTCATATTTATGAATGAAGGAAAGAAAGAAAGGAGTCCCTGTGGATTTTGCTCCACTAGCCAAAACGGCTACATGAATGAAGCCATAGATTATCACAGTATCCTTATAAATATGCTCTGTGTTATCGTCTGCATCTCTAAAAATAGTAGGTTGACTACACAAATAAATTGCCTCAGGATTGAGGATAGCACCTAGCAGCAGGCAAGGCTTGCTTGTTACTTTTCTCGGCCAATTACACCCTTGGATGTGGCCTTAGTGACAAACTAATGGCACTGACAGTGCAATCCTGTGCACATCTACTCAGAGATAAATCCTGTATAGTTCAGTGGGAGTTTTTCCCAGGAAAGCGTACATAAATGTACAAGAGATTGCTTTTACTCTTTTAGGCTTAATAGAGTAGCAAAACAGTCTACAAAGTAATGCTATCTCCTGCTTATATGTTTCGGCTGTTTTTAACTTCATGCCAATCTAATAGTTCTAAAACTGGGAGATGAAGTTGGCACTTAGAGGTTGTACGGTTTATTTTCATTTGCATGTTTAAAAGAGATAAGACATGGTTATAATTTATTTCTGATAAGGTGCATTTTTTCCTGTAAACCAAGGTTAGCTATGTACTCCTCACTCTTAAACAGTGGTCTACCATTCTTCTCACCTCTCAGATCATTTCATGTCAAATCACATTGTTGGTGGAAATATTTCACTGGTGGAAGGGGCAGAGAAAATAGGCAAGCAAAATGAGACTTCTTTTAAACATCCAGATTTTTTTTAACATTGATTAGGAAGACTTCACTTAGAGGAAACTTGGAAAAATTCTAGTCAGGACCTGAAGACTTCACTGAAATACACTGGAACTGGGTGTAGGGTGTCTCCTAGAACGATTAAACTGTGCTGTCTCCAACTCTTCTACTAGGAGCTCAGAGCAATGTGCTTGAGACACCCATTCTGCTCTCAACCCAGTCCTGTAAGTTAGGTCAGCCTCAGCGGTAGCAACTTGCCCAGTGAACTTCACCGGTGATAAGATTTCATACTGTAGCCTTCCTGCCCCATATTCAGCATGCAGTCACAGTGCTGATTATCAACCAGTTGTGTAAGCCCACACAAGGATGCTACTGTACATACACAGCCATGTTCCTGGGCGCAACCTGGTGCAGCATAGCTGGAAGCCATTTCCAAGGCCTTCCTTCATTTGTCCAGACATTCCAGAGACTTCTCCTCTCTGTGCCACAAGTGGCAGCAAGGATGGAGGCTGCTTGCACTCATAGTACTGCTTACAGGCTGTCCTGGGCAATGAAATGGCAAGCCTTCAGTGGCTTTCTGGCCATCTAGACACATTTCCTTGCTAAGATGCCTTTGGAAGGAAGGCAGTCCATGGCAAAGCATATATGTTGATTCTATTCTGGGCAAAGATTTTATTCTGGGGCTTGGTGTTATCATCAGTGCTGCAGACATCAGCATCTCTAGCAACACTAACCATGTAATAATGAGACAGAGTGTGGAAAAGGTGTATTGTGTGAAAATAGCCCTCATCCCAAGAAGGTGACAGCACTTCACAGCAGGGTTCTATTTGCTGATGCACTAAGGAGTCTGTTTCTCACTTGCAGCAGCTCCAGAGGCTTGCCCTGCTATGTGCCAACTCCTGTGACTGGTTAGCAGCACACCATGCTCCTATAATGTACATTTATGGAAATTTAGTATCCCACTAGGCTGATGTCATGAAGAATTGATATTGCTTTCGGGACCCATTGGATATGGAAGCTAAAACGCATCACTGCCATTGCTTTATGAGTCCGTTTAAGCCCTTAAAACATGACTAGATGGAGTGATGGGAGGCGGGGCGGCGGGATCCTCTTCTTATTTATACCACAGATGCCCACGCTTTCATTCCTGAGGGTTTTGTTCTTCTATCAGAGCTTTAAAAAATGACCAGCTGCTTCTGTTCATACTCAAATGAAACCAGGCAGCCTGTGCTGGGTACTCCCATGCAAAGCCTCCGTCACTGGACTAATGGCTTAGTGCGCTGTGCAAACCTGCCCTCCCTGTGACTTTACTGGTTGTAAAGGTCTCCCACTTGGCAGTTCCATCATGGGTGTTTCAGAACATCTGGAAAACATGATATGTGAGGCTTCTGCATTTCCCATGAGGCTCTGAGGTTGGCTGAACAGGGGAATGGTAGAGTCGTGTATATTGAGCTACAAAGACATCCCTAATCTGAAGATTAAATTAGGTTTTTTAAAGAGTCATTCTTCTTCTAGCCTGTGAACTCCAGGGCTTTCCTCTTCTCCTAAGTCTGCTTGTTCACATTCTCTTTCTTGTTGTCAAGCATCAAGTCAAAAATAGCCTTCTTTCTTGTTGCCTAGGAAATTTCACCCACTAAAGAGCTAAAAATGTCTTCTGACAGGCTTAATGAAAAAAAAAAAAAACTTCAGAATTGCCCTTTATGAATTTCCTCTCCTTGTCTCTGAATTCTGCAGGCCAGTAGACCTTATACTTGCCTTTCACCTGCAATGCACAATCTGGATTCTCCATATACAATAAAATTAATAAAAAGAATCAGTATTCAAAGAAAAGGGAATTAAATGGAAGAAGGTATAAAAGTGTAATTGCACAACAGTGGTAGGCATGGTAGAAAATCCTGAAGCATTAAAAAAACTATTATTAGAGGCTATATACTGTTGTTAAATATTGGCTTTAGGGTTCTTGGGATGTCAAACTTGGGAACATCACTGTGAAGGGGGATTTAAAGTGCCCCTAATTTGGAGGTAGGTGAAAGATACCATGTTTATACCTTAAAGAAAGTCATAATTCTAAAGAATTTTAGGTTATGATGAGTGAGCTAAGGTGGTGATATAGTGACTCAGTTGTGCGCATTTGGGTCTTTTAGAAATTGGGCACAGTGAGGCACCTGGTAAAACATTTCTGGCATGTCTCACTCCTAGACAGAGTTGTAAGCCATGATTTAGTTTTGGGTTATGGCTCTGGTTTGTCTGGGAAGAGACAAGCCAAAGTTTCTGGTCTGCACATCACAATAAACCACAGGCAGATGGTGTAGCTGCTTTCACTTGTCGCAGAAACCGTCGAGTGGCTTACAGCAGAATGCCGGAGCCGTCCACGTGGGGGCTGCAGCCGTCTTCCCCGCAACTGCCGTGTGATGCCTGTTGAGTCATGAGAACCGCAAGCTTAGGAGCACAAAATTTCATCCAAGAAAATCTCTGTGTGGAGGTACTGTAGGACAGCAAGCAGAGCCAGAGTGGTTCACCCCAGTTTAAAAAAGATACACAGGAAGAAATAAGGATTGGAAATAAGAGACTGGAGCACAGAGAGACTTAAAAGTCAAATAAAAAAGGAGAGTGACTGGAAAAGAGTCACTGAAGAGGCAAATAGATCATACATGGTCCAGACAACAGGATAAAAAAGACAAGATGGACAGCAGAAATTAAAGTGAGGAGAGGAGGATTAAAGTGAGGAGAAAAGAGGAAGAGCAGGAAGGCTAATAAGAATAACTGCTTGATCAAGACAGGAATGACTAAGAATCTAACTAGGGCCTGGTGCCCTCCAAAATGTTTTAGAGTACAACTCCTATGAGCCCTAGCCAGCTTGGCCAATGGTTAAGAACTTGTAATCCAAAAGAAAACCACATTGCCTTTCCCTGAAACTGGCTCTTATCTAAAGCGACTCATTTCCTTATCTACCTTTTATCCTTCTTATATAATAAAAGTTTAGAGTCATTCCTACTTGAAGCAACTCATGTAATAGCTGTAACTATTGGTTTTATGATTTAGAAACCTTGTGGTTTTCTCTTGTCTGTAACTCTAGGACACAGGTGTTTTCCCTAACATAATATTTAACAGTAAAATAGAAGCAGATGTATATTTGAGATTTTTAGTTTTATCATGAGGAATGGGTTTACTGAAAGCTATCTTGTTGACGTTTCATGAAGAATTCATTTTCTCCTTTGCAGATCATGCCAAGACAATCTCTTCTCTGTTTCTCTACTGGATTACAGATATCCTTCCTGCAAAGAACAGGAAATAAGCTGAATGCACACATCCATCTGAACAAAATAAAATGTAATACGTAAGACTCAAGCTGAATCTGGGGAAATTCAGAAATGGCAGTGCCATTGAACAGGTTGCAGCTTTGCTGAGGAACTGCTGGGTTGTTTCACTTTGTATTTTTACTATTGACATTGTCCAAAAGGTAACACACTCCTTTTATTAAAAGGTTCCTTTTATTTTAAGTACGCTATCCTGGGAATGGAACGTTTCAGTGCCTTCCTGTTAATACAGGCCCTGCTTTAACTTATTATTGCCACTGGATTAATCTAAAGGAGGATCTTTCATCAGATGCTTCATAGCTACCAAAATAGTTTTGAGGCTAAAGCTTAGCAAAAATTATACTTCCAAATACAGTTGTTGTTGTTGTTTATATCATGCCAAAATCTATATTTTTATAGATAAAATAAAGAGAAAATCTGGTTTTATTTTTGCACTCTTTCAGCAGATCCATTTCCTTCTTATAAAAATACAGTATGGGTATCAAAACATTCCTTTGCATTTTGGTATGATGCAGGTGGCTGTCTTTGGGGTTGTCACATTGTAGGCCAGCCAACAGTTCCAGGACTGAATTAGGATGCTAACTGCAACACAGGCCTATGAAAGCTGTGGCATGGAATACAGAGCTTCCATATTCTGACCCTGATGTGCATTGTGAAAATCTCTGAGCTGCTCTACCACTCAGATGCTCCAACAACAAGCCGAGAAACAAAAACATACCTTTGCAAACTGCTTACCAGCAACAAATAGGAAGTACTCTAGGTACTTACCATTATCCACATGTAGATGTTATAAGCTGGAGGAATTTGGGAAGTCATTTAGTGAAACAACATTTAGTCCAAAGATCTTTCCTCTTTTCCATGATTCAAGGTAACTGCATAACAGAATGTGTGCCTTTCATCTTGAGTTGCAACACAGCCCATTTCTGACAGACCGATCTTTATATTAGTTAACATTTTGACTGTTCTAGACAAAATCCGCCATTAGCACCTGCTTTATCACGTTGTAGTTGTGCCTTCCCCAAACGGTTCTCTAATAACTGTCAGCAGTAGAGATACCAGGCTTTTGTACCATTGGTAGTTTTGTTGGAAGAGAGCTTTGCTAAACCCTCCATAAAACCTACAGCTGCTGAAATGTCCTCTTCACACTGCTGTTGATTCAGGCAGCCTGCCCTCCTCTCTAGAGGGCAGGCGTTAGGGAAAAGCCAAAGCTTTTCCATCCTAAGGATGAGACTCCATTCTGGAAAGCCTTCAAAGGCCCACATTCCAGGGATACCTGGAGCAAAGTGGCCACGGTCAAACATTAGCATGTCTACTCAGAAATATACTGGCCACGTTTTGACCACTTCGTGGTCATCCATTTTACACAGGGAAGGGAGGACCTCCTGCACGGTTTGGATTCCTCTCTCAGGGTTCTGCCTTCCTGCCAATTAGTGATGGAAGGCTGCAGTAGAAAGACGGAGCTAGGAAGAGTGGCTTGCTTGCTTGCGCTGAAACCCTGACCTTGCGATGGTTGATCAAAGAATTCTCCACAGGCTTTGTCCTTTGACAGAGAGTTGGTGGGCTGGATGGGGGGACTGGTAAGCTGAATTCATAAGCACTATGTAAATGTAAGAGCTCTGCTGGATCAGGCCAATGATTCTAGCCCAGTGTTGTGCTTTCACAGTGGCCAGCCAGTGGCCCACTGGAAGCCCAGAAGCAATCAGGACAACAGAACAACTGCACGGTCCCAGGCAGGTTCCCAAGAACTTGCATTCGAGGTGACTCTGATACTAGAGGTAGCCTTTAATCTTCAGGAAAACGTTGAAGGTTATCTTAGGGAACAGCATTTCTAAATGGAACTGGAGTGGAATGCCCACAGAGGTTGCACAGAGTAAACATTCCTCATTTTGTACTTCTAAAACTGCCATTTGCATTGCCACCTCCTGTTTCCCCCATACACCCTGCCTCCTAGATGTGACTACAGGATTGGCTTATTAGCATGGAATTTCAGTATGCCCATGACAGGGAAAAAATATTGTTATCACTGAGGAAATATTAGATGCTAACAGGCCCACTATACCTCTTTTTTGGGGGGGGGGGGGCGGTATAGAGGAGTATTATGACATCACATGCAACCTCCCCCAGCTGAAGATCCAAGTGGTACAGCCCAGACATAGGTTTGTTACTTCAATCAGAGAGGATCTAGGCCTTAACTGAAAGAAGGAAGTAGCTTATTGTGTATGTATATAGTCAGGGATCTAACTCCAACATGAAAGACTAGAAGAAAATCTCCATTTCCTGCAGTGTCACTCAGCGCATTGCAGCTGTCTTTTTCAGGCATCTTAGCATTCAGAGAGACTAGAATAATAGACTTCAGACAAAAGGAATATTTCATTTCCGCTTGACAAACTTTTAAAATGTGCTAATATTAATCAGCTAGGCAGTGAGTAGAAAAGGGGGCTGCCCATGCGCTAAATAATCTATTCCACTACCCCACCACCAAGGCAGACTCTGCTGATGAATTTTGCAAAGGCTTTCATGATCACTATAAGCATAAATGGGCTTGTACCTTTAATACATCGTGCAGCCATCTGAAGATAAGAGGTTTCTGGAAAATGGAGAAATGCTGTTGAATTTCCTGAGATAGGGCTTGCTTTTGTTCGCATACCTCAGTATTGGCCTTTAGCATGAATGCCCTATGGCAAGAGTAACCTGTCTTGTGCAAGAGAAAGCAAGAGAGGCCTGAGGCCACTGGTAACAGAGGCTATTCTGTTTCCATGCTTGCTTGGGAGACACATTGCTAAACATGTCTCTGGAATAAGCCCTTCTGGAGCACCGATGGCAGGATACGAGTGGGTACTGCTCCATGATGTGTGAGGAAAGCTCCTTCCAGTATGATCAAGGCTGCATTCTGCTTGCCCAGGAAAACTGGCTCAGAAACAAGCATTCAACCAAAACAGACACATCGACCAAGCATTGCTGGTATCATTGAATCAACACGGTGGAGTGTCCATATAAGATATTCAGGCTGCCAGAGACAGTGAGAGCTTTCCCAGAAGAGAGTTTTATTGATAAAGTAGCAACTAGACCATGGACAGAGGAAGAGGAGGAGGAATGGTGTGGCTACAAAATGTGATGAGGCTTCAGGGAAAGTGGAGGGAATTGCAGGGTTTGTTATTTGAAAAGAAGTTAAAGAGAAGGAAAGTACATATCATTTCTTTTAGGTTCTTCCCAAAAGGCCAGAGTAAGGGAGCGGTAAGCCAGGAGTGGATATCCAACCCAGGAGCTCACGACGCAATGCATTTTTGGGGAGAGGAATGCAGAGGAACAGGAAGCTAGAGGACAAGGAAGGTTTGCAGGGATAAGGCAAGCATGATCTGAAGACTGTTCTGGTGTTCTAGAGATCTTCTGTATTTGCATTGAAGGAAGGTGAGTTGGGCAGTCCTGTGAGAGAGATTTGCAGGTGGATTCAAAAAAGAGAACAAGATCTGGACTTACAGTGTCGTGTCTCAACACACCCCACACTACTCCCTTGTCCATATCAACAAAGCAGTTTTGGTTGGAAATTTTCAAGATGATGATTATGTTTATATTACACAACACTAAACCAGGCTCAGCCCTGCTTGGCTTCCAAGATTAGGCAGGATCAGACATTCAGGCTATAGGAAAATTGGTTTTGCCTGGATTAGCAAAACATTTCTATCTCACTTCTCAGAGCAAAATGAAACCTTTTGAGCCTAGGCACCTGCAAGGACATGCACACACAAAATGGCCATAGAGCCATGGTCTAAGGAAATGCTGCAGTTGCAAAGCAAAGCTTTTGAAGTACAGAATATGGACCACTAATACTCATGGGTACATCCAGATGTTTGCAACTTCCATCAGCCCTAACAGGTGTTGGCAATGTGGGAGATGATGAGAGTTACAGTCGGACAACCTCTGGAGTGCCAGGAGCTGTCCACCCTAGAAACAGATGTTCTTTGTTCAGTATGCCAGAATGAAGCAGATACAGTGCTAAATCAGTACCTTAGATTGAAGACCATTGGGAAGCCAACTGTACTTTTAAGAAAACACAACATAAATGCATTTTTTAATTTCTTAAAGCACAGTTTGGAGTTGCATTTTCAAATCAATACAGATTTTGTCTTCCTACAGGAAGATACATATTAGCCCCTTTCATTTGCTCCAAATGGACACACTGTACATATGCAGAAGAGTCCAGATCATGTTTGCTGGCTCTGCCTTTCCCCATATTCAACCTCTATGAATTTTGTTCGAGGGCCCACCAGCAACAGGATTCTGCGCACCCACAACCCAGTGTCAAAGAGTTTCTGTATCCTTAGTCTGTACCTTCCCTCTTTTATGGTATGGCATGCAGCACATGGTTGTACCCATATAACTTGGAGCATAGATGTGTGGGACCTTATGAAGATGAGACCTCAGAAGATGGGAAGTCAGTGGGGGTAAGGGAGAGAGGCCATTGACTAGGATCCAAGCAAAACGTGTGCACCAGTACGTATGTATCATATCCATTTGAAATGTTTGTGCAGGACTATCCTAGCGTATGCATTGTGTCCTTTTTGAGTATACGTGTTGGCTATAAGCAGCCCCGTATTGTTCATAGCTGAGTCCCCCATCACCAGCACAGTCTAGCCTGCAAATATGTTCAAATGTTAGAGCTCAGTTGGAGAATTCCAACATGTTTTGTGGCACTCCACAGTATTAAGGT